GAGCAGGGAGCCCAATGCGGGACTCGATCCAGGGACTCCAGGATCATGACCTGAGCCGAAGGCAGTCGCTTAACCATCTGAGCCACCCAGGCGCCCTGGTCTTTGTACTTTTAAGTATAAATTGATATTATTGCTTTCACCTAAAGTCTCCACTTATATACTAATATATACAACATGAATAAGTTCATATTTACTATAATTCATTGACATGGAAGATACTAGCAAAAATCAGTAACTATCTGTCAAACCACAGTTTTTCCTTATTTCAGGTCAATATAATTATATATATATATATATATCCCTTTTCACTTAAAAAGCCATTCCTACCTGTGTACTTTTTCTTTTATTATAGGAAAGAATTACTGAAGCTACTATCTATTGCCCTTGCTTTCAGATACAGAAAACTAAAAAATTTAAAATATAGTATTTTAATTATTACTCAAAATTATAGCCTAAAAGTCACAACCATAGTAATAAATGAGATCAATTAAATTAAATCAATTAAAGGGAGAATGTAGCTTGGGAAGAGCAGGTTCACATTGTAGGCCATGGCCAGACCTGCCAGAGACCATAATGATACAAACAAAAGGGACATAAAGCACCTACCCTCTTGCACAGAAATTCTTTCAGCACAGTAGAAAACCATAGTTACATGCTTTATGGAGAAAATGTAGGAAAGGGTTAAGTATAAGATACCTGGCCTTTTACCAAGCAGGGAATAAAAGCCTAAAATTCTGTTGGCAACAGAAATAATACATGACAGCCAGACATTCCCTATGTCCTTTCTACCCACCCTACTGTTCTAGAAACAAAGCCCACCAACCAAGTTACTATTCTCCCTGATGCTCCAGTACAATAGGTATGCTCAGGTAGGTCTCAGTAGTGGGCTCTCAGGTCAGACTTCCAGGTCAGACCCTACTTTAATTTCCAGATCTGCCTCAGTAGCTAATTGCTGAATTAGTAAGAATCAGACAAACAACTGAATGGTTACATTGTTATAGTCAGTACAGGCTATATAATTCAAGGGGCCTAAGGCAAAAGAGAAAATGAGAGATCCCTGTTCAAAAATTTAAAAAATTTCAAGATGGCAATGGCAAAGCATTGAATGAGACCTATTCTCTGTGCAAATGCACAAGTCTCATGCCCTTGAAGCCATTCTTGGATGTAGTCTAGAATAAACTGGTGATAGTATATATAATATGGGATCTCTGCATGGGCTTTCTCTTATGGCCACATGGCATCATTCATAGTCTAATAGTTGATCCAGTTAATCACCAAAAAAACCTACCAGGTTTGGAAAAGGAACCTCAGGGCCATCACCTCTCACAGGGAATCTAGCTACAGAAAATAAATCTAAATTGTCCTAGTAAAGGAAAAGAGGCAGCCCTAAGTGGAGGAGGACAACCGCTGTACCAACCTCAGAGAATCAAATGATTGCAGGGTTCCTGAATGGAAAAAAGGCTTACACAGCAGCCACCCAACTGTCTGCTGTCCCTAGAAGCAGGCAGTGGACAGTGTCACAAGCTAAATACTGAGGGGTGGTATACATTCACAATCATAGCTGCTCAACCAGGACTGAGGGAAGTACCTTCTGATGCTCTTATTCATACTACTTGTGGTGGCTGGTGTTCCAGGTCAGAATGATCTAATAAAGCATGAATAAGTTATATTCCACTTGCCAAGATTTTTTTCTCTCATTGAGAGAAACACAGTGCCAGATGAACATGTACTGTGACACCAGCATAAAGTGGGTCTAGGAAGAGCACAGCTCATAACAGTGAAGTGAGCCAGGCCTACTGTAGGCCAAACAGAAAAGTATGTACTTAGTCTCCAAAATGATTTCTAAAGATCCACAATTCCTATTATTATCATTATTTATTATCTATTACTATTATTATTGTTATTATTATTATCATCATCATACCACAACATGGACTTGGGTAGTCACCTCCTACATTGAATCTTGGCTGTCCCAATGACTTGCTTTAACTAACAGAATATACCAGAAATGACGAAAGCTTTCACTTGTGTGTTCTTGAGAACCCTGAGCTTCCATATACAAACTTCAGCTACGGTGATGAAGAGAGCACTAAAGAGGTTCTGAGACTATATGGAGAAAGAAAGAGGCCAAAATCTCTACTTCCCAGTCAAGCCTCAAGACGATTCAATTTGCACTCACCAGATTCTAAGCATGACCAACAAAGGAAACTCCCTTTTAAGCCCACTCCACAAAAAGACATGGAGAAAATAAAATGGTTGTTGTTTTAAGCCACTGAGTTTTCAAATGGTTCAGTCCATAGCACTACAGGAGTCAAACCTCTACATGATTCCATTTATAGTCACCAAACTTCAAGTAAGACCAGCAGAAGAGCCACCT